CCCCACCAATCCAACCCACCAACGCCCCCCAACTCCTCCTCCCCTCTCTCCGCCTCATGACGAGCGAATTTTCAAATGCTTTTATTGTAACTGCCTAAGCCTCCCCAATAAGATTCTAGAATAAAAGCAGCTTGCACTAGATAATAACCTAGACTTTTTAATGCAGACAAAAACCTGGGTCACGGCGGACTTCGCCAAGGCGAAGTAACCATACCAGGCTACTCCTTTATTAGAAAAGACTGCACCCTCGGAAGAGCAGGTAGGTTCATGATTTATTTTAAACACCATCTCCCCCTCCAATCTCCATAAATCCTAATCCTATTCCTCTGATAGTTAGACTGTGGATCTGTTATCATATCTCCGGGACGATCGATTTCCTGATGTGCCTAGTATATCGTCCACCACAATCCAGTCTACTAGAGAACCAGCTCCTGATAGACCAGTTTAGGTCTGTCACGGAAAGCTGCCAACATTCTCACCTCTTGGTAGGGGATTTCAATTGCCCAGGTATCGGTTGTCAAAAAACGCTCTGGACAGACGTCTCCTTCGGTCGCCCTCTTACTGACCTTCTAGTTGAGAAATCCTGGACATAGCACGTGTCTTTTCCAACCTGGTTGCGACAAGGACATACCCCATCTTTACCGGACCTAGTCATCACCAGTGAAAGACACCGGGTTGATGTCATTAACCAGCTTTTCCCTCTAGGTAAAAGTGATCATATCTCGCTAGCTTTTGACTACATAGTAACCTGGAATCCGTTTAGCGGGAACAGTCGATACGTTCGTTCCTTCAAAAGAACAAACTTCGAGACTATAAACAGCTTTATGCAACTACACATCTGCCCCTCTCCTGAAATGTCTGTTGATAGCCTCACCAGGCACATAGAACAGGTGATCTCTCTTGCAGACTCGCAATTTCTACCCCGAATTAGAATCACGTCTAATGCCAATCCCCCTCTCCCTCGCCCAATTCGCCGGTTGTTAGATACAAGGGCCAAGCTTTTGAGAGATATATGAATACTCGCCTCACGGCCGACGGTGATGCATTTAAACAAGTTAGAAACCTCTGCTGACACAAAACTCGGGAGCATGAGAGGTACACCCAGAGAGCTATTGTAATGATTGTAATTGTAGTAGTTATACGCACGAAATTCGGATTGCAAACCACGTAATAGGAATCACCGGACACGAATCAATAATCAGCTATCACAAACTGGATCACAGAAGCGCTGGACCGCAATGGCACCAGTTCGCAATGGCACCGGTTCGCAATGTCCAACGAGAACGAGACGTGAGGAAAAGGCCACAGGAATGGTAATAATTAGTGGTTCATTGGAAGAAATGAGGGTGATTAAATAATATATACAAAAGGAGATTATTGGTTATATAGGCTTCCACCAATCAGATTGCAATACTGCTTGCAAAATCTTTCTTCTGTCTGCACTGTCTTTCATTGGCCGGCACGTGCGTCATTGACGTCAGCATTCAAATTTGATTGATCGCATGTGTCCGAAAACTGTGATGTGCCGCCCCAGGGTAGGCGTCATCTCGTAGGCCTGAATTACCACATCAATCCTAACCAATGCTCGAAACAATAAGCCTTTCTTCTTTAAACACATCCGTAGCCCTCTCTCTGCCCCATAGATTTCACTAATCCAGACCGATCAATTGCCTCATCCCCAACAGAGGTGGCGTTTACCTTCCGATCACACTTCCGGAAAACATTCAACTCCCTTCCGGTGCTCAATCATCCCATTCTGCAGCCGCTAGATACAAATTCCTTCCTAGGATCCATAGTTTTCTCACAGGATAAGGTTGAAAGGAGACTCCAGAGCATTAATCAGTACTACTCCATGGGATCTGGTAATATACACCCCAGGTTACTGGTGGAGTTAGTTGGTGTATTAGCTTCCACGTACACTCTTCTCTTTCAAAGCAGTATGGACAAAGGAAAGTTTTTTACCAGCTGAAAAGAAGTCGTTGTTCGCCCCATCTATAAAAACGGTTGCAGACACTTCCCTGTTAGCTACCGTCCCATTTCCCTAACCAGCATTCCCAGAAAAATTCTCGAGCGTCTAATAAAAGACGAAATCTTAAAGCATCTTAGAATCAATAACCTTCTCTCTCATTTCCAGCACGGTTTTCTACCTGGCAGGTCTTGCATCATCAATATGCCGACTGTCATGGATAGCTTGACTAAAGCATACGATTCCGGCAAGATCTCTCATACAGTTTTCATTGACCTGGCGAAGGTATTTGGCAAGGTCCCACACATTCCTCTTTTCCACAAACTTGCATCACAAGGGATTGTAGACTCCTTGCTAGCACTTATTCGTATCTTCTTCTCGAATCGCTCATTCGTTGTGCGAGTTGGCAAATCTTCATCACGTCCCAGCCCAGCCCAGTTACAACTGGTATTATCCAAGGTTCCGTTCTCGGCTCCGTTCTCTACTTCATTTATATAAAATACCCGCCTGGTGTAGTGACATCAAGAACTGCGATGAACGCCGATGATGTCACCATCTTGGGATACAGACGCTCCTCTTTTGCGGGCCTCAATTGACGCTACCAAACGCTGGTCACCGGACTGGAATCTTCCATTCAACAGTGACAAGTGTATTGGGATGCCATTCAATGGTCACCCATCTTACCCTTTAACAATAGACGGTTCCCACCTACTACCCCAGGTGGACCAATACAAAGTTCTTGGTTTTTGTTTAAACAACAACTTGTCTTTCTTTTATCATAACCATCTGGCCATTAAGGCCGCTTTTCGTGCCCTGAACCTCATAAAAAGATGTTCCCCCGTATTCTAAAGGATGATTTTCTCCTTATTTACGGAACGTACATCCGCCCTCTCTTAGAGTACGGAAGCCAAGTTGAACACTCCGGTCTTATCCGAGATCGTAACTGCCTTGAGCGCGTCCAGAGGGCCGCTACAAAATCCGTCTTGGATTCCGGGACCTCCCCCACCCAACGCAACTTCAATAACTGAGCCTCTATCCGTTAGAAATCAACGGAAATAAGGGCAAACTATTTCTGCTCTACCGTCTCTTCGA